AGTCGTATTATTTTTGGCATTAAAAAATTTAACATAACCGGCGCAGGTACATTCGAACGTATTCATTTATAATCGCCATTAGAAACGTGGTATTAGAACGTAGATGCATCGTTTGTTAACGTACCGAATCTTTTGAACGGGTCAAAGTAGTGAACGATATGATTCTGATCGCCGAAACGAGGTTATCTGGATCAACGTATATTTTTTTTTTGTATTTGTTCCTAGGTTCATACACGATAACGTTTATTAACTATTTATTAACTGTTAATATACAATAAAATAAAATCTCATGTTGATTTTGTGGTTATGAATTAATATTTGAGAAATTTTTAATGTGGGTAGTCGACTTCTTCTTTCATTTATTTGACGACTTCATCATAAACAGTTAAAATATGAAGATTATTATTATGATAACGTTATGAATCGATATCATATATGAACCTAGGAACAAATACAAAAAAAAAATATTCGTTGTTCCGGATAACCTCGTTTCGGCGATCTGAATCATATCGTTCACTACTTTGACCCGTTCAAAAGATTCGGTTCGTTGGCAAACGACGCATCTCTACGTTGTAATACCACGTTTTTAATGGCGATTATAAATGAATACGTTCGAATGTACCTGCGCCGGTTATGTTAAATTTTTTAATGCCAAAAATAATACGACTCGCCACGCTAAATAGCACGACGGAATAAAATTTCAATGTTCTCCGTGTCCGAAAATGTTTTCGCGTAAAGAAAACCTGGCCGGACACGTTAAAATCGTTCATCGTTTCATCGTGACGGAAGATTCGCCACGCCGACTATTCCCCCAGGGGCCAGACCATCGACTTCAACTGTGCTACGGACTACTGACGAAGGAAATGACGAACCGTTTATGGAAATCGATATGGATAAAGGGTAAGATTTCTTTTATTATGGCCCACCACATAGCGTGGGAATAAGTTTTAAGTTTTTTTTTTTTTTTTTTGGTAGGTAGGAAACGTAAGAAAGAAGATACCGCAGCCCGAGTAAAGAAATCAAGGATAAAGTTAGTGAAAACACCGGGATTCATCGAAATAGATTCTTCGTTCTCCAGTAAAATCATGTGGTANTTTTTTTTTTTTTTTTTTGGTAGGTAGGAAACGTAAGAAAGAAGATACCGCAGCCCGAGTAAAGAAATCGAGGATAAAATTAGTGAAAACACCGGGATTCATCGAAATAGATTCTTCGTTTTCCAGTCAAATCGTGTAGTACTATTCTAAAAATATTTCAAGCATACAAAATCAACGACAATTTCACCGTTCAATCGAACCCGCACTTAAAGACCTTTTTTTGTCTCAAGTGACCGACGAGGGGCAGGCGGACCATTTCTACCTTTTTTTAATGACCTAAAAAAAAAAATTTACATTATATCTACATCTCAAATTTTTCCTGTCTTGTACTATCACAGAAAACTACACATATTGGAGAAGTAAATTTATGTAATCAGTGTTTGACGTCTTTCGATAACCAGAAACTTATAAATAAATTGATCCGACAGGCAATACCTGACCAACTTAAATGGATTTACTGCGAACATAAACCTATTTTGCCCATCTTACCCGAATCCAGTTCGGAATCATGTTTAGAAGCCATGGAGAAAACACAACATCATTCTATTGTTATATAAACTGATTTCAAAGCTATTTTAGAGAAGAAAGATAAACAGAAAGGAGTGTACGCCAATTATCAAAAAAGAATATTCAGCAACTAAAAAAATAAAAATTGAACCCATAGATATTTCATTTGACTACAACATTGTGAACATATATTGAACCCATAGATATGCGTTCCCAAAATTGTAGTCAAATGAAATATCTATGGGTTCAATTTTTATTTTTTTAGTTGGTGAATATTATTTCTTGATAATTGGCGTACACTCCTTTCTTTACTGAAATAGCTTTGAAATCAGCGTATATAACAATGGTATGATGTTGTGTTTTCTTCATTGTTTCCAAACATGATTTTGAACTGGAATCGGGTATGATGGGCAAAATAAGTTTACGTCCGCAATAAATCCATTTATGTTGGTCAAGTATTGCCTGTCCAATCAATTTATTTTTAAGTTTCTGGTTATCGAAAGATGTGAAACATTGTTTACGGAAAATTACTTCTCCCTTATGTGTGGTTTTCTGTGATCATACACGATGGGAAAAATTTGAGATGTAGATATAATGTAAATTTTTTTTTTTAGGTCCTTAAAGGAAGGTAAAAATGGTCCGTTTTCTCCTCAGTCGTCACTTTAAGCCGAAAAACTGTGTGTACGGTTTTTTTGTATCTTTCTTCCTTCTTCAGTCCGTAAACATTTATCGACCCATTCAAATTTTTTAATGTCTTAATGTTTAAAATTTTTTTTTCAAATTTTTTAATGTTTGAAAGCGGGGTTGAGTACGTCAATCCGGAGAAATTGTATTTATTTTCGTGTTCGGTATAATTTGAACCAACGCGGTCTCTGTTTTACATTTTGACTGTGATATACCTGATGATACCAGGGATATTCCAATTTTAAATATTATTATATTACTCATTATGTTCATATTTTATAATTTGATATATTGAATTAAGTGTTGTCTTTAAAATTGTTGTTATATATTGTTTAAATAATGTATAATAAAATTGTATGCTTGGTATTCTTTTGTTTTAACTTTCCTTGGCCATTTTTGTATGTCAAATAAAAATTAATTTTGTGTCAAATATCAATTGAAACATCGGTATTTTTTTTTATAAATTTCCCCTGGATTCTAACTTCTCACTTTCCTCGACAAAAGCAGTGACAGCTTTTTTGTAAATCATATTTAATATACGATATAACACCAATGTATAATATTATAAATATATTCAATTCATATTGAATTAAATTTTTTTCATTGTTGTATAACACAAAAATTAACATATCTAGCACTTTTCCATGAAGTTAACATAGAAAATAAAAAGACACAATGTTCAATTGATTATCATTATTTATTAAAATAACAAAGTAAAAACAAAATTATTAAAACGGTTAATACTCGTAAATAATAAAATAAATACATATAGTATATATATAAATAAAGAATTTATATATAATAATAAAGTAAATAATTGAATCAATGCAATCGTCAGTTATATTTTGGCTGTGATATACCTGATGATGAAGTTTTTAATTTTAATTTTTCATAATACTCAAGAGGACACGCATTGATTCATTTATTTATTTTAATCATTATTTATTGAAAAATCTAAAATATTTTTACCAAATTGAAATTTGTAATACACGATTAAATTATTTAAATGATTTGATTATAATATTTAAAAACATTGTTACTGAAATACTTATCAATTTAATCGAATGTAGGTTTAATAAAAGATTTATTAATATAAACAAGTTATATTTTATAATTATAATCATAACTATATGTGTATTGAATTTGTCAACAAACAGGTGACTATAACTATAACAAATATATACAAAATGTGCACACCTTTTTTTAAGCAACCGCTTGTATTGAAGGTGTTAAGTTCTTATTAAATAGTTAAAACATTAAATTTCGAAACTAAATTTATATGTACTGTGGGCACCTTTTTTTAAGCAACCGCTTGTATTGAAGGTGTTAAGTTCTTATTAAATAGTTAAAACGTTAAATTTCGAAACTAAAATTAAATGTACTGTAGGAACACCTTTTTTTAAGCAACCGCTTGTATTGAAGGTGTTAAGTTCTTATTAAATAGTTAAAACGTTAAATTTAGAAACTAAAATTAAATGCACTGTACGAAATAATTATAATAAAATAATTCACGAGATGCAGTGTTATGTGACATCTACAAATAGCAGTCAAAATGTAAGAATTAAGATTTGTTTTTATATTTATATATTCCGTATAGGTAACAAATTGCGTAGGAGTAATAATATTTTGTTAAATTATTATAAAAGATGGTGTATGTGTGTATAAAAGAGTATCGTGTGTGTTAACCTATTAGTTGATGCATAGTTAAACTATTATATTGTCGTTGATATAAATTGGTTGTATCGGTGGATTAATGGGCGGGGGAGAGGAGGACGTTACGGAACCTCGCTATACAGGCCTATGCAGGTCCGTTGTCTAATATCATAATTCTTTGTTTATCGACAATCGTTGCAAAATAATATTTTAGTATAGGTACTTATACTTATGATATAGACAAAGAGGGTACAATATAGTGCTGGGTGATTTAGGTTATTCGATGGTATGGTAACGCGCGCCGAGACACAATTATTTATCATCCCTTGTATCGGCAGTCGCTGACATTCTGAGACATACGATATGCGTTAACCGCCCAAATGGCGGGCGGAGTATGGTGGGCTCGTTAATAATGATTGCTAATGGTATGTTATGAAAAATATTATTTGGAAAAATAATAATAACTTATTAAAATATATACGCTATGTACATGCATATTATATACGGTATACAAATTCGGTGTGGTGCTAAGCGCCCAACTCATAGAGGATCGTAAAGATCTTACAGGCAAGAAGCACAGTGCGCGCTGCTGTCGATATATATAAATGTGTACATTCTTTACGTTCTCGGAGAGGGATCGGATATATGGATATTATAGACGGGGTAGATAGGTGTGTTTGTGTATGGGTACTTATGAATGTAGGCATGTGTGTGTGTGTGTGTGTGTTTGTAGGTGTATGCATACGTTTATGTGCGTATGTAGGTGTGTGTGGTATGTGGCGATTGTCGGCGGGTAGGGTAAGGTAATAGTAGTATTTGGTGATAAAAGTGTGTTAATAATGTCGGTGATAACAGTGTGGTAATAATGTCGAAAGTGGTCTATGAAGTGGTGGACAATTCGGGCGGCCAAGTATTAGGTTTAGCATTTGCTCCTGATCCTGATCCTGATTCTGAGTTAGAACTCTATTTTTATACTACTCATTTATATCTGTAAGCAACGATAAACCATTGTTAATGAAAAACGATTCCGAGCGCAGTTCGGTAGTACATAATTCGAAGTGCCAACCTTTTTTTAACCTAACATTCCAACGATTTTTCCCGATTATCATGAACAATAATTCAGAAATTAAAAAAAAACGAACTACATCATAAAAAACAATATGAATTATGAATATTGATTCATAATTCAACAAAAAATGTATCTTTTTATTTTTCAATTGGAGCCATATTTATACTAGTAAACGTGGTAGGTACTTATTCAAGATAATGAAATCGAGAAAAAAATCGTATTTTTTTCCCGGTTAATCGTTTGTATTTAAAATACTTTTTTGAAAATTCAAAAAATTAACTATGTATTTACCAAGTAGATAAAATTGACTTTCAGAAAAGGTACTCTTACATATCGGAGCAAGTTTACATTGAGCAAGTACCATTGTAAAAAAATAAAAAAAAAATAAAAAAATCGTCCGATGATTTTGATTATAATAAATTAATATATGTAAATGAATTATAATAAAATAATGCATGAGGTGCAGTGTTATGTGTCATCTACAAATAGCAATCAAAATGTAAGAATTAAGATTTAATGTATATATATATAATTTTATATATTCCGTATGGGTAACAAATTGCGTAGGAGTAATAATATTTTGTTAAATTATTATAAAAGATGGTGTATGTGTGTGTTAACCTATTAGTTGATGTCTATGCAGGTCCGTTTTCTAATATCATAATTCTTTGTTTATCGACAACCGTTGCAAAATAATATTTTAGTATGGGTACTGAATATTTATTTACCATTTTGACCCATTTAAAAGATCCGGGTCGTTTGCGACGACTCATCTCTCTCTTCTGGTTCTGATTCAGTATAGGCTCAAAAAAACATATCAGATCGCGAACGGGTCTTTGATCCGGATCTTCTTGATGAGCTGATCTAAAAGAATCGGATCACTGAGATGAACCATGATTCCCATCTCTAATTTATAAGAATTTAAAATAATTAACACCAAACGAAAGCGATGAGATAACCGGAAAAGACGAGTGCGCTGGTTCGTAGTAAAATCACTACTGACGATCAGATCGTTAGCGATCCAGTGCCTACAAAAGTCGGTTTACGTTCGGAGAGAATTTGTGCACGATCGAACAGAAAAACGGAGAACAATACATTTTCTCATACAGGTCTTTACAGGCAAGCAATGCGTAATGTGCGTGCTGTCGATACATATGTTTACATTTTTTCGTTCTAGATTTCCGGAACGGGACCCGCGGTACGCATAATATAGTTTGGAGGGTCGAGAGGTCCGTTGTCGCCGACGATTATATTTCGTATTATGCTGAATGGTGGAGGTGACGGGGGTTGTGACGACGGTTATAATCCGGATAGGTAACAAATTGCGTACGAGTAATATTATTTTGTTAAAATAATCAACAGGGTGTAGATGGTGTGTGTGTGTGTGTGTGTAACACAGACGGGGAAAATATATTTTGCATACGAATCACTTGCTCAAATAAGATAAGTTGAAACATCATCTTGTGATAACAGTAGTTATAACGATATATGTATTAGGTATATCTTGTAACAACAGTAGGTATAAAAGTGATAAAATAAAATATGGTATAACTTGTGATAACAGTAAGTATAACGATAAGTATAATCGTGATAACAGCAGATATTACCTTGATAACAGTGTGGTAATAATGTCGGTGATAACTGTATGGTAATAATGTCGAAAGTGCCGTGACCTAAATGGTCTGTGAAGTGGTGCAACCTGAGTATTAATCTGATCCTAATCCTGCTCTTGGCGTAGAACTCGCTATTTTATACTACTGCTATATAATATTTATATTTAGTTATATATGTTATGTTTTAAAAGTCAATCCATTAGTATATACATTTAATTCCCTTGGGGCGCTAGTATACCTTTGCACATGATTCAGTTTGGGACCTCCTTATCATCTATCGTTGGGTATCCAGTATATTTTAATTCGCGACTGCAATTATAAAAATCACGGCCTAAGATATCTTAGTTACAATTGTGTGTTATAAGCATATACCAACCTATAATACAGAAAGTTTACCTAGGAAACAACCACCTACTACTCGCAACATAAAAAATTACCTACTATGGTACTACTTATTTTACTATTAAAATATTACAGTGTATTTGCATATTATCTAATATTATCTTCCTTTCTATATTTCTTTTAGGCTAAATATCATAATTTTATATTATGATATTACTAATATATATATTACTAATATATATATTAGTTATTATTTCTCATACAAGGTCACACTGCAGATTTTTAATGAGTTTTTTTGATAAAAACCTTTTAGCACGGACTAAGATACCTTAATCCGTGATCAAATATTTTTCACTCGTCATGCAACCATTTATTTCTATTATCTACTGGGGAAACAAAATAAGTATACGCACCCTGATGGATAAAATCTCAACTACTTGTAGCAGGTTAATCATATATTTTTATTTAACATTTAATGCATTTTATACCTAAATGTTTACTTATATATTTTAAAAAGTTGGTAGAGAGGTAAAGAAGTCTCTCTAAATTTTCAAAAAGCAGTGATGCAAACTGACAGCATTGCTTGTCACAGTACCATTGTTATGTGAACAAATGATCAAATTTTAACATATTTTCGTTATTATATTTTATTACCATGTTTATTACGTTTGTTTTGTAATTGTAACAGTTTTTTTTATTTATTCAATATTACTTACAAATATGTATGTATAATTATTTCATGTAAAATATTAATGTTAACTAATAACTATAATGGGAAAGTGCTGTATTGTTAATTGTAATTCGAACTATAAGAATAATAATGAAAAATATGTTAAATTTGCTGCTCCAAAGAATGTTGATTTACGAAAAAAATGGGCAATGGCTATTTCACGAAAGGATTATGTTATCACCGACAACACATATGTTTGTGAAAAACATTTTAGTGAACATGACATAATTCGATTTTGGCAATCTGGTAGTGAATCTACATTACTTGTTAAGGTAAGTAATTTTGAACTAACAATGAACACCTACATTGGTGTAAGAAATTGGAATTTAAAATGATCAATTTAATATTGAAGTATTAGTACTTTAAATATATACATACTCAGATTGAATCTTTTGTTGATTTAAATAGAACAAAATATTTAATACTACCTATTGTGATACCAAAGTACTAATAAATACCTATTAATAACCTATTATAAATATTTAGTTAAGTATGATCCATAATTTGTTTTTAGATTCCATATCAGAAACCTAAACTTCGAGAAAATGCCATTCCCTCAATTTTTCCTGGCCCTGCATACCTCTTTAAGCAAATAACAAGAAAATCTCCAACTGAACAACAGAATACATTTAATAATAAAAACAAATACCCTGCTAATATATTTAATGATTTAGCTATTACAAAAAATGAGAACTTATATGACAAATTAAATATTTTGGCTACTGAGGGTACTTTGAAAATTTTTTGTTCCTGGTACGATACTGCTATAAAGACTGGAAATACAATTTCAAATTTCAATTTTTCATCTTATTGTACAGTAGATCACTCTTCTATTATTGAAAAATCAATAAGTGTTGCAAAAACAGGCGAAGTCACTTTTGGAGTTCTTGGAAAGAAGATTGACCCACAAAAACTTAATATTACTCCAGCTATAACAATAAATGATTTTCTAACTAATATAAACAAATTTGAAAAAATTAATGTGTGTCATGGAGGACCATCATTGACTAATTTTCCTAAAGCACCTTTTTCATTATGTGTTGTTAATACTCTTGGACGACTTCAACATTGGAATTGCAACCTTATTGTAAAGGAAAAGGTTACAAGTTGTATAAAATGTCGGAGACTAGATAATATGTTAAGAATGCATGATAAACTAAATCAATGATGCTCAAGAGCAATAGAAATGGACAATTAAATGAAATAAAAATAAAAAGCAATACATATTATATTGTTATTTTCATTACTTCACCCTTTTGATTATAAATAAAAGTATAAAACAAAATGTCTAAAAAGTGGTTTCCCACCTTCCCACTTGTCCAATTACAATTGAATTATTTTCCAGATTTATTTACAATTTGTTTAATGATGAATAGTGTTATATTTTGTCAATTCTTGCCTATAATAGTAAAATAATTATAATTGTTTCATGATTACTAGCGCTTTAGTTCACTAAAACGCAGTTTATTACAGTATACTATCTATATTATGATACTACCGTATAAGGTTTATGCATAGATATTAAAACTTACAATAAATTATAGATGGCTTACACTCCCCTATACCTCCTGTGAATATTATCGAAGTCAAAATCAGCCATTTAGTTTAAGGCCCACATGTCTTATTGTTTAATTTATGTTGATAACAAATCCATTTTTTGAATTTTTTACCAATAAATTATTGATTATAATTTAATCACTCAGTGTAAGCGTCAGAGACAGCGCCTCTTATCAGCACTATTATTATCAATATCACGCTAAAACCAGAGTTGTCTTATCACACAATCGGTTATTATATTATTTATATTTTATTAAAAATTAAATTAATTTACATACAATGACTTCAATTTCAAGTGAACAATTAGAAACTGTACAATTAAAATTTGGTTAGGTTGTGATAAGGCAACTGTGGTGTTAGTGTGATACTAATAATAATAGTGCTGATAAGAGGCGTTGTCTTTAGACGCTCGTCGTATTGTACCAATGGTGCCTGGCCTAAATATTATTTTTCGATAGTCTGTTGCACATTTATATATTAATATTATACTTTTATAATGTGTATGTGGTTAATATTATATTAAATATTCATAACATTTTTGAAGAAATAATTCAAATTATAACATTAAAATATTATTGACTTATATTACAATATAAAACAAGACAAGTTGAGAAGAAGAAGACAATGAATTTTAAAGAAATGATAAATCATTCCTTCAATAAAACTATTCTGAGCGGAGTTTCAGTTAGTAATACAGAATAATAATTATCATTTTTTTAATAATGGCTTTAAATTTCAAAAAACAGTAAAATGGTCATTCTTAATTATTATTTGTAATAATCTACTTATAACTAGGTACCTATCAGATTTCTATATATAACACAAAAATATTAAAAAATACAATTAAAATAAAATACACCTATGTAATTAAAAATTACTAAAGAAATATTTCCTTTTTTCACATGCTAAATACATTTAGTGATGAAATAACCTGTGAAAAACAAATCGCCCGATTAATAAGACAAATTTAAACAACTTTTTGGAAAAATGTATTATCCTTAATCTGAGGATGACTACAATTCATTATTTCAACACTTGGAATCTAAAGCATCAAGATCAGTCTTCGAATATAATAACTATATCATTGATGACTAGGCCTCGGAAGTTGTTGCATTTGAAACTTTTATTCTATTGTTCAGATGTATTGCTTCATAAGTAAGTTTTAAATCTATTCTATGCAAGTACAAATTAAAATCTAAAAATGTTTAATGCAACTTTTTCGATTTGATTGTAATTTTGTTGATTTTCCTTATTTATAATACAATTTTTGATATTTTTAAATATTATTCACCGGATTTAATTTTTCTTTACATTAGAAATAAAACAATAACAGGGACCTTGTCAGATAAAATATGTCAGAATAACATAATAATTTATAGTTGTTTCTAACTTTGTCGATTGTGATGACAGTGGTGAAAATATTATTTGATAAGACAATGCACGAGTTATTATTTCCTCGAAACATAAAGTATTTTTATATTCATTTAATAAATAAAATGATTTATTACTTCCGAGCCTTATTGATAACATAAAAATATCTTAGCAAGTTAAAATACACAGTGCAATTTTAGAGGAAAATGTTGAGATAGATATGGTAAAATGTTTTTCACAAATTAAATCTGGAAATCATTAATGAAAATAATTAATATAAAGCATTAGAAAGTTATATAGATATGCCCGACATGCCGAGAGATTGGCTTGAAAAAATTAATAATGTGTAATAATTGTTTAACTTGGTTTTATGTTAAGTGTGATTTAAGTATTAAACCTAAAAAGGCCAATTGGTTTAGTTCTCAATGTTGTAAAAAAACATTAATTTAAAATATATGTAATAGTGTAATGCGATTATGTATACAAAAATTAATTATTACTATGAGGGTTTAAATCACAATTTAAGGTACATTATTCTATTATAGTTTATCTTAAATTGTAGGGACAACTCATTAGGTATAACAAAATAGAGGAAAGGGTACCTACATTTAGGTTATTCAATAAATAATTGTAATACAATCTTATTATTTCTTCCAATTACCTATTTAATTATGTTTTTAGCTCTTACTTAAATGCAATTATTAAAAGTTAAATAGGCAAAACAGAATACTATATTATTATAATAGGTAATATAATTAAAACTTGATAAGTGATAATGCAGATAGTGCAGAAATAACAAGTCCTCATGCATGCACATTCAGTGTCTGGGTATGCATTAGATACCAGGTTTCTGGGTATCTAGCCACAGCGAAATAAAATATAAATATAAAAATAATACAGTTTAAATATAAAAAAAAAATAAAACATTTTATAGTTAAAAAAAAAAAAAAAATGTATCAAACACCACAATCACCATGAGTTAATTATCACTAACATTGAACTAGCTTTACAAATAAAACAACAACAGTGAATTTATTATTCTTATTTAAATTATCTTATTGGTCCAGATATTCTTACACTTGACAGGAACAAAATTATTTTAGAGCTTTCAATTTACAGTAGGAATTTTGCTTATTTAAATATGGATGGGCCATAGTTTCAATACAAAAAAAAATAAACCTAAATCACATAATATTATTAGACATTGGAAATAGTTTCGAAGGGAAATTTAATAAACTTCATTAAATTAATTTTCTTAAGGTTTTTTTTGTGCTTGTTATTTATCAACATTTTTTTCTTTGATAATTTAATATATAGACTAAAAAAATAGAAACTAACAAAGCAGCTAGTTTTTTCATAAATGTTACGCTTACAGAAATCATTTTAAAGATTTGAAACTTTAAGGGAAACGTTTTTGTATACATAATATCAGAAAAACAAGAAAAAAAACCTGGTCCACCCATATTATCATCATTATGATTTAAAAAATCATGCATAGTAAATGAACATTGGGTTTATGATTTCCTCATATTTTTCAAACTTTCTCACATGTTACAACACTATTACTCACAACTATTCATGGGTATTTTTAATTTTGATAATAGTATGTACATTTTGTTCATTGTACCACCAGCATAGTGATGTGACAAGTAATCTGAAAATAAATTTGAATTTGTCATTATATTTTTCTTGTGATCAAAATTTATTAGATATAATTAATTTCTTATAGTTATGCTTAGCATTTTTAAATTTGAAAAAGAACTGGTATTATTTTTCCTTATCCTTGAGCATTTACAATATGGTATTTAGAATTTTTTTTTATACATATATTTACTATGGTAATGAGATAATATTATTTATTTAATTATTAATTTAAGGCAAAAGAAAATTCCATTTACAAAAAAATGTGTGTAACATAATATATAATGGTTGAATGTGTACAGATAAAAATAATAAATATAGGTATACATGTAAAAAATTTGTATAAAGAGCAAGAATATACAAGAATAAATAGGTAATGTATGTGTATAAAAATAAAGAATAATGTAAGATTGTTAAAATAAATTATATATTTTTAATGTAAGTATGTTATAAAATTCTGAATAACATCGTTTAAGAAAGCTAAGTTTTGAAAATGTTTATTGTATTTATATGATCGTTAAATTTTGGTTTGCTATCAAAAATAAAAAATTCTAAAATCATTGACTAAGGATACACATTGTATTGGATAATGAATTAAATTATAATAAAGGTAAAACAATTTTTTTTTAATGAAAAAGTAATTATAGGGCATTTATTAAGTTCCATGCCAATATTGATACACTAATTGGCAAAAGTTATCTAAGTTAGATTGTAATTCTAAAGCATTATTTCTTGTTGTAATAATGTTGTAAATTTTGGCATCATCTACTAGAAGTAGTATTTTTGAATGTTTTAATATTGAAAATATATCATAAATCAATAGTTTCTTTTGGGTCAAGAACTGCTTTGTCACACTATATTCTTGGCCAAATTAAGAGATAGTATTTCTTATGAAACAAAAATGAGATATAAACCACTAATATTAAGAGGATTAATGAGCTATTGTAAATTCCTAATTTTTTCCTAAAATATTAAACTGAAGAGTTATGCCATGTTTGTAGTTTTTTTTTATTTTTAAATAACTAAAAAAATTTTTTTTTTCTATATTTTAGAAAAAAGGGAACGGGTTGCCTTTTAAATATTTTCCTCTATCAATACAATTTCTAAGTATAACAATTGGGCCATGTATACATCAATGAGTATTGAGTGTCATGTCGCAAATAAAACATTTCTGACACTCAACACTCATGAAATATATTTGGCGGCTGCAAACAGTAGATAGTAGTGGTGTGGATCACTTTCTATAAGTAGGTATAAATAAATTTATATATTATTAATACAGGTAAATATTGGTAGGTATCATGTAAACTCCACAACAGAGCAAATATTCTAAAATATTCTAAGAATTATATGATAATTAATAATGCTCACATATACTCATATCGACATATCATGACAAGTTTAGTTAATTTTGAATATTTAAAGAAAAAATATACATACATTTCACTCCCAAAAATATTTTGAAAGTTCATTTCAATACAGCACAAGAGAAATAGCAAAAATCTTGACGGTCTAAAGGAATCACAAGACGATCTACTGACATACGATGAACAACATGATGAGTTATTGTATGAATATAGATTATAAATATTAAATGAACCACAACAATTTGCATTGTGCTCACCTTTGATGCTCCCTAATATAGGCACTGCCTTAAAGGTATAATTTATTATTAATGTCAAATATATACAAAAATTGCATATAATAAAGCATTTTAAGGGATAATAAAATAGTTGCAAATCATTATAAAATACAAATTTAATATTTATAAGTAATACTGATTATTATTTTTTTCTTTTTTTTTTTTTTAATATTTATTAGAAATCATACAATCTGTAAAAAATTTTACAATGAACATATTTGATATTTTTAAAGATGACATGAGTGACTTGACTTAAAAAAGCTACCCAACGGTAACACTTTTCGTGAGTTTCACACAACGGAGACTACTTCGGAGATAGTTGGAACCTTCAAATCAGTATCTAAGGTTTGGTTGGAGATGTAGAAGGGAGCTTTGGTGATGATTTGTAGTGTAATGGATTGAAAAGTTAGTATTTTATAGATATTAAATTTTTTTGCAATGCCCCATAATTGAATCCAGTAAGACCAAATTGGTTTTAGAAGAGTTGTTGTATAGTGTTGTATAACAGTAGTTTATTTTTTAGAGTAATTTTAGAGTGTTTGCCTAGAAGATAATAAACAGATTTACATCTTGAATTCAACAAAAGTTTTTTTTGTTTTACATGTTCGGCCCAGGTGTCTAGTATTAATCCTAAATAACTGACATTAGAGGCCGATGGTATGATTTTATTGGATAGCAATAACATAAGACAATGTCTGTTTTTAACATAAAAGTAATATGGGAGCATTTTTCATTGTTGACTTTAAACTTCCATTTTGAGTATCATTCTTCCATATCCTCAAGGTGATTTTGTAAGTATTGGCCGGCAATAAGTGGGTCTAGGTGAGAAGTAAATATGATTTTGTCGCCTGCGAACTTGACTACAGAGGTGTAGATTGATGTTGGTTGGTCTGCTGCATATGTTATATAACATGGGAGATGAAATAGCACCTTGGGGGACAACAGCTAAGATAGGGGATAAGTTGGAGAGTTCGGAGCCTACTTTTGTAATGGTGGTTTTCTAGGTATGATTAAAAGAATATGAAATAGGTAGATGGGAGAAGTGTTTTTAATTTAAATAAGAGTCTGGTATGCCAAACCTTGTTAAAGGCTTGAGCAATATCTAATAAAACAGCGGAACATTAATTCTTATTTTTAAATGAGTAGGCTATGGCGTTGGTTAGGCGGTGTATTTATTGGATTGTGGAGTGTTTGTTGCGAAATCCGAATTGGGTATCAGGTATTATTTTTTTTTCATTAATGATTTTAGATATATGTTTAAGAATTAATTTTTCATTAAGTTTAGCAAAGAATGACAGAAAACTGAAGGACGATAGAATGAAGGAATATCCGGAGGTTTACCTGGTTTCGGAATTAATATTATGACTGATACTTTCCATTGGAGAGGAAAATAAGAGAGTCTGAGAATAGAATTTAAAATGTGGGTTAGGTGAATTAGGGATTTTTTAGATAATTGTCTAGCCACTTCTACAGTGATTAAGTCTATTCCTGGTGATTTTTTGAGAGGAAAAGATTTTATAAGGTGTAGTATCTCAATTGAAGAAAACGGTTTTGGGGCAAGGTATAGTGGAAGAGGAGAAATAAGTGAGTTTTCAATATGTTTTGATGATGTTTTCTGATGGTTATTAAATAATAAATAACAAACATATGTATAAACATAAAAATAGCAAATAAATATTAATAGGTAACTGTAAACTTGTAAAGGATCAAATTTATCCCGGGATTTGAACAAATTTATTTTATAAAACTTATATTGTCAGAATTTATATCAAATGTATTTATTTCAAATACTTAAAAGTAAAAACTTTTAATTTTAATTACATACTCATAATGTGAGCAATTTAATAATGTCATCCATATTTTTTGTAGCAACACCCGTGGAACTAGATGAAGTGCTCGGATTAAGGACATCTGAAGAAACCGAAGCTGAACCAGAAATTGCATTACGCTCTAGTGATAGATATTCTTTAATTTTTGTATGACATTCTTGTTCCGTTCTGATAGATATAGCATCTAAAAATGAATAGTTAAAGGTACTTATACTATATAATATTTGTTTAAAATCTATATTATATACTTATGGTAGGAAAATTTTAATATTTTCTTAATTAATTCTTACCACGAGCTTTTTCGCGAATATTTTCATACAATTCTTCAAACTTAATCGTTTTAGGATCTTGACCAGCTTTAATTCGTTTGCGAATTTCATTTGTAATTAAATTGCTCACTTTATTATCCCATTTGGATTCCATTAGACGTAAACGGACATGGTTTTTAATACTGCATCATAATAAAATAAAAAATAATGAAACAAAATGAACAAATTTGGTGATTGTATAATAATATATGAATAATAGGTTTATTAATTTCCAACACACTCATAATAAATTATCTTGATTATATACAAGATTATAATTTTAATAATAGATAAATATTTGAATTTAAATAAATTTGTTCAACAAAAGAGAAGTTGATAAGTTATAATCGTAATAAAAACTTACATATCACGGTAATTTACTTCGTCACCAGCAGACATTTTTCCACGGCTTATATTATGTGCAATGTACTAATGTATTTCAATATCAGTTAATATCAGTCTTTTCTATTCGGAATAAAAAAATTTTCATTATTGCAAAGTATAATAATTTCAGTAGGTATCTATTAAACATTAAACTCTTTGTTACTTACTAATTATTTATCATAGACATGTAAAGAGATAGATGTGTAGGTAATTTATGTCCAACGGCAGTCAATCATATAATGTACTAATAAGTAATAATCAATATAGACAAGAATCCTCAGGCAGTGTTCGACGCTTATCTACATATTTTCTCATACTATGCTGTGATAGGTCCAAATATTGATAAACAAATTGTTATCTTACCACCATCACCATTGATTCAATTACCACCAATTCAAATTTAAATTGTATCATAAAAGTCTATAAAATATATAAGCACTAATAAACAAATAAAGAAGAGCAGATACTGGGAACGGGTGCGCTCCTGGTGTAGATGGTAAGTCGGGAAGATAGGAATATAGGATACATAGAGATATTTGATTTATACCTGTAAGCAACCATAGACCATTGCTAACGAAAAACGATTCAGAACGAGGAATTTCGGTTATAAAAAGTTTTTTACAGACAAAAAAAAAATAAATAAACATTGTTAAACCAATTCATTTCTTGTTTCGTTCAGAATCTAAAACAAAATTGAAAATAATGCAATTTTCCTTGCTATTTTAATATATTTCTCAATAATTATGAAAAATACTTGGAAAATCAAAAAACGTTCTTACTCAATAATTAGATTAAAAATACTACAAAAAATGTCTCTATTGTCATTATTTTATTGGAGACGTTAGAGCAATATTTTTAACAGAAAACAAAAGCCGTAAAAACTTGAAATAAAAAAATCGTAACCCCGTAAATTTATCAATTTTCAGTATTCGTCTTTTCCCCAACTATTATGAAAATTACTGGGAAAATCAAAAACCGCTCTTTCTCGACAATAAAGGACTCTTGTCGATTTCAATTGGAGCAGAACTTTTGGTAGAAAACATGGGCAGTTTGCAAAAATTAAAAACAATGAAATCAGTAGGTAACATCGAGGCGCCTCGTAAATATTTGCCGTTTACCGGCAATTTCGTTCCCGGTTTTTCCCATTTATATTGAAAACACCTTGGATAATCAAATAATGACTAACGATCTAATGATAATTAGATAATTATACAAAAATAATAAAAAAAAAAAAATTGCCAAATTTTATTGAGTCTACTGGGTACAGACATCGATTTCGATATCCGCTACTAAACCTCTCCGATTTGTGAATTCCATATCTGTACGTTCCGGGTTTTTACGCGTTCCCCGGTCCGCGTTGGTGTTCAATGCGACCTGTCGATATTTCATTACGCACGACGACGTATATTAATACAATACCGATGATATTGTCGACTATTTTGCGACACGGATTAATCGCCCAGTGCGGCGGTCCGGGCAGGTCGCCGACCTCGCAACCGGGACCGCGGTACTCTCGGAATAATAGACGGTAAACCCGGGCGACAGTCGATAACAACGTGGACTGGCACGGGCGTACCGGTGATGCGTCGCGCATATATTTTCGTCATCAATGTCGTGTTGTAATCGGATTCGGGAACACCGTGCCCGCATCGCGGCGCGTGCACATTGTTATCTAATCGTCTGGTCGCCAGTTTCCGATACCCAGGCCGTATCGCCTGTTCCGATTAACAATAATGGGTGGTGATGGGAAACCGCTCTATCGATCTCGCCATGCGCCGTTTTGCGCGCTTGTTCCATCGCCTTCGCGTTTTCGACCCCGTCATTGTTACCCGACCGCGGACGCTTTGAAATCGAAGGGCTACGGAAAGCGTGGGGACAAGTGTCCGCTTTTTAACAAGAGCGGTTGTCGGTCCGTATTTGCAGTTGGCTTTGTTGATAATGTCGAACGGGGACACTTGTTATTCGCACAGCAGTAATAACAAACAATTTTTGTTTATGCATATAAAAACGCTGTCGTCGGTCCGTGTTAGTGCCTATGAAAAAACGGCGTATAAAAAGAAATTTAACACCGTTCTTTTGACCACGGGCCCGTTTGCATTTCTTTAAGAAATGTCGCGAAAAGTGACTCGGCCAGGACAAATCAGATTCGATCTTACCGTCTTGTAATGCTTTATTTGACACGTTTTTGTTAAATTTTCAAGCCGTTCGCCCACTAAATCATATTTATGATTTTTTTTTTTTTTTTTTTTTGTTTCTCGAAAAATACCTGTTTTTCTTATATTGTGTAAAACGAAAAATAATGCTAAAAGGTACGTTGACACGAAACAAAGTTACTTTTTTTTTTTTTTAAATTAATTATTATTATTCGATACAAAACTGCTCTCTAGGGTAACCATTTTTCTGGCTCACCAGGAAACTTCCTGGTCCGATGGTCTTCTTTGGTGGTCCAGTATACTTACTCATCGGCATTGGTCGTAGATGATAAAGTTACCCGCAAAGCTGCATACGACAATAATCAATACATAATCCTAATATAATATGGTGTTCTTTTACAATTCGTCGATAACATTAAAGTATTATTGACTACTATTATTCTGTTAAGTATTATTACGGTTTTATCGCTCGAAATTATGTATTAATACAGTAAAAATGTTTAAACTATTATAATTATTTATGAAAAAAAAAGAAAATAATAATGTCTTATGCCAAAATATTGATCCGTATGACCCTATATGACCTATGGCCCCGATAATAATTTCTAAAGGTACTAAGGGTTGAAAACTGCACTGTTAAGCTTATAGATTTGGTCATTATTATTATTTTCTTTTTTGTATCAATAATACATGGTATTTCATTTCGATTACCGTATTATTTTACGTAGGTACTGAGTTGTTACACTTAGATGTCAAATATATTATGTCGATCAGACAGGTTTTGTTGGTGCTTATTGGTTATGAAGTTAAACACCTCGTGAAATTGCAATTCGAATTGATTGTTTTATTACATTGAATTTCTAAATGCATATATAATATCGTGATGGTCAATGCCGTTCGTGATTTATGTATGACAGGTGCCTGTTCGTGGTGTATTGTACCGAATCACAAAATCTCGTATGTCTACGCAATAGAGCTAGGAGGTATATATAGGTTAGGGTGTTCCTTAGCTATAGATGATGAGAAAAAAATATCATAAAATGTTTGGTCTCACCCCCTAATATTGTGCCTATATGTATAAAAACGAACTACAAAAAGTTTTGGTTCGATCAGATAAGGTTAACCCGTGCCGACTTGTGATTTAAGTTTGAACTTACTACATTTTTCAATATTTACGAAAATTTTCGACATTTTCGTAAATATTTCGTTAACCTTTAGAAATATCGATATTTTTAATACTACATATTTTAAAGTAAATTAAATTTGCTATAACTTTTATTTTATTACATTTTTTCATATCTCTAATGGTTCGTGAATTATATTTATTTGACTCCAAAAAAACACAATTTAGGTATTTTTTCATAATTATGATTTATTGTGCGGGCTAAAATAATTTTTACAAAACTCTCATATGAAATTTTCTAAAAAGTTATTTTATGTATTTTTGCCTTCATATTATCACTGGTAATATAACAATCACAATACAAGTATAATGTTCACAATAATAATATATTAATCTAATCTCTTTCACCTAATTATTTCTCTATATTTCCGTACATAAAAATTAAATATCAATAGATTAGATAGTACCTATTCGTATGGTTAATTATTTTGATAATACGTTTTAATAGCAAGATAAGTCTGGTTCTTATTTTGGTATAATTGTACCTTATTATTAATGTTAGTTTGATCGTAATATCTGTTTAATGAAGATCTAATATTTACCGTCGTTCGTCGTTGTATGATTTGTTATTGTTCAGGCATTGTGTTGTAATACAACTGCATCCAATACAGGACGCTTAAATGGAGCATGTATTTTAATTGAACAAAAACTCGGTAAAGACCTATTATATCTTCCTTGTAGGCATCATATTTATGAGCTAATTTTGAGATCTGTTTTTGAAATTAAAATACCAGAAGTTACATCAAGCCCAGCCATTCCATTATTTAAAAATTTTCAAAAACAATGGCATAAATTAGATATTAACAAATATAACATCGGAATTGAAGATCAGGCATGTGGCGCTGCTTTAGAAAATGTTAAAGAAGATATTCTGAATTTTGTTAAAAGTAAACTATAAACTAAACATCCTCGTGGAGATTATCGTACATTTTTGGAGTTAATATTTATTTTTATTGGCGGTAATTTGGAAAATAAAATTAAAATGCATCCTCCCGAAGCCATGCATCAAGCCTGGTGGATGGCACGAGCAATTTATTGCTTAAACATATTTTTGTTTAGAAGCCAATACAATATTTCCGACTTAACAAAAAAAGCAATCGGTGAAATTTGTGTTTTTATTATTAAATTTTACGTCAAAGCTTGGTTTACTTGTCTATTGCCAAATAAGTCCCCAAATCAAGACTTACAATTTATAAAAGATATGAAATTATATGAAGTATTTGATAGAGAAATATCTAGAGTATCAATTCAAAAATTATGCAACCATTTGTGGTATTTAACTGAGGAGGCTGCTGCATTATCTTTCTTTGATGATTCTATACCACTAGAGGTAAAGCGTCAGATGGTAAAAGCCTTAAAAAAAAAAAGCGACAAAATATCCGGCCAAACGATTGATAATTAAACCAAACCAAATAGATGATAAATTTATTGGTAAGTAAATAAACATTAAGTTTAAAAAATATATTGAATACGTTTAATAATTCATAAAATAAAAAATAAGCAATTAATTATATTTAATATTATAATTTTTACAGAAAAAAATATTGACGCATTTATAACAGAAGAAAGCTTAAAACTATTTTCCCGATTTAACATTGATGACGGATTCTTAAAACATGATCCGACTTCCTGGGAATCTAGTGAAAGTTTCATAAAAAGCACCTTACAACAACAATATTAATTTTCTTTATTCTATAGAATTTTTTTAGAGTCAAATCAATATAATTCACGAACCATTAGAGATATGAAAAAATGTAATAAAATAAAAGTTATAGCAAATTTAATTTACTTTAAAATATGTAGTATTAAAAAAATCGATATTTCTAAAGGTTAACGAAATATTTACGAAAATGTCGAAAATTTTGGTAAATATTGAAAAATGTAGTAAGTTCAAACTTAAATCACAAGTCGGCACGGGTTAACCTTATCTGATCGAACCAAAACTTTTTGTAGTTCGTTTTTATACATATAGGCACAATATTAGGGGGTGAGACCAAACATATTTTAAAATCAAAAATTAAGGAACACCCTAATATAGGTACACGATGCACTTTACCCACATCATCGCTCGTTTAATGATAATAGTTACTGTCGTACGGTTGATTAATTATTATTTTTTTGTTTCGTTTTACTTTTACCGCACTGTCACCGCAATAACCGATACGAGTGAATCGACGACGCGTCGAAAAAGAATCCGGCGTGCAGTGCACCCCGCATACTCGGATGAAATTGATAATACAAATGATAATAATAATAATAATAATAGGTGTAGGACCAGAAGGAGAGGAGAGCGTTCAAAAAGCCTCCCCCCCCCCGCTGATCATATAATGTTTACACCGCATAATATCATCATCATCATTATTATTATTATATACTTTACTGTCCCATTGAGTCGATTCTCTGCGGGCGGACATGACCGATGAGTGGGCGTCTCGTCGCACTGAACTATATAGGTGCCTATACTCGTGGTATCATAGAAATCTATTATTTTCGTATCGCTATAGTGTCCTCAAAACTCTGTTTCAATAAACGAGATTGATTTTCATCCGTCTCGTATACATATTATATATATGTATAAATAGGTGCCTAATGCACTGTTCGGACTACCGCGGGAACTAAACGATACACAGATACGTAATCTAAATCATAAGTCATATATTTGTTTACAAGACAATAATTTATTATTTAATAAACGTATTGTTGTACTAGAGACTGCAGTATAGACGCGTAATCACAGCTCACAGTTTCATCGGCGACTCACAGATAACGCAATATATAAAACAATATAATATAGATAGCCCATACAGATACTATGTGCGACAAGACCCGAAGCTCGACAAATGCACCAATGCGTACCAAGAGTTCAAATTTCGTCGGTTAATCTGCGAAATATGTTTGCGTGCTGCAGGATGCGATAAATATTATCAGATAAAATATGAAAAAAACATTTGAAATTAAAAAAAAAAAAATTATTGATTTTATAGTTATATCGTCACAAACAAATGTATAATATTGTACCAACCACTTACGATCGTGTTTCGGGATTCTATGATGTGGTCAGCCATCTAACGGTATTTTATATCCATGGAAAAGGATATTTTATTTTGTACGTCCACTGCATGTACACTCTCCCCCTCCATTAAAAAAAGCTACGCGGGCAGATAGATCAAAATTTCCCCTTACTGTGTGTCTAATAGAGTTTAATGTATGTCTATTCGGACATAGAAAACCTCAAATGGGAACAACAAATAGGAAGGCGGTAGGTACTGTATAACGAATCATAGGTACAAAATATTAGGTTAAATATCGATTTTATTTAAATCTAAGAAAATACGATCGGTAATATTTAAAATCAATGAATATTAATTATTATCGTTAAACGCGAAAATTATATTTTAACGTATTTACAGACAGCGTAATTTTTTCTCAATTTTGTATTTTGTTATTTTTAGATTCGGACCGTATTGGTTTTACTATTTATGTTTTTATTTTATTTTTTTCAACCAGAAATTTTACTCCGGTCAAAAATGAAAAGATTATTTTTCTGTCAATGGTTGCATCTAATCGCAAAATTTCGGAAATCAATCGTTGATTTTTAATTAGTTTTGTAATAATTGAGAAAACCCGAAAGGAAAACCAGACAAATTTACGGCAATAAAAGTTACATTATTATTTGTTAAGTGTTATTTTTTTTTTGTTTTTGCCATAATCCTCGCAAAATTTTTGAAGAATTATGTCTAGTTGATATGGGAATGTATATAGGAATGTCGGTTTTTAATTTTCCTTGTCATTTTCTTTGGCAAAAAATTATGGGAAAGTAACGGGAAAGTTTAGTTTTATTTTTTTTTTATTTGGTTAGAAATGAAATACTTATATTCAACTTTACTAGACGTGGTCAAATGTTTACAAAATTCTTGCGTTTTTTTGAGTTGTTTGTAGACATTGACATTTTCAAGTTTTTTTGCTTTTATAGGAGAAATTGTTTGGCTAACGCAATGTTCATTACAATTTAGACGTTTTACTTAGTGGTAAAAAAAAATTTGAACGAATATAGTGTTTTTTTTTTAAGCGTTTTAAAATTAAAATTTTGACGAAAATCGTAAAAATTAAAGCATTTAAAAACATGTTGAATCGAACTTCACTCATGATCGTATTTCGTCAACTATAATTTATCGTTGTGTACAGATATTAATGAAATAACTTTATGTATCCTACCATCCAAACTTCCTACCCACAACAGTGGAATACCAATCAGCAGTATCAGCTTTTTTTTTTATCGCCGCAAACGTCTGGTGATTTTGAAACAAAAAAACACATTATCAGCAGATCGCAGGTAAACGTTTAAAAAAATATAGTATAATATATTAATCCCAATATTTGTCGGTTTATTATAATATAATATTATGCATATAACTGTACCGTTAAACATATAATTTACACAATACATAACAGTGGCGTATTAACTGGGGAGATTATAGAGATAGATATCCACTCCCCCCCTGAGGCCCCAACCTTTATTTTTTAGTTTTTATTGTTTATGTGACAACCTTTTTTTAAATTCAAATTTCTTTAGTTTTTAATCAGAAAAATCAACAATTTAATCTGTTGGTACCCGTATTGAATGTATTATCAAAAAAAACCTGAACGTACACATTTTCTTGTTTAAAACGGTATCCGGATCACTACAATATCATAAGGTAGTTAGATTAGTACCTAAATAGTACAGAAACTAGAAAGTTGTGAACATCTTATACATATAGTTATTTAAATGCCATTTTAAAGTAGATTGAATTATAAATTACGTTCAAAAATAAAAATAAATATATGTAAACTAAAAATTGATCTCTTTTTATTGCTTGGGTATCATACAATATCATGACAAAATTTCCAAATTCTATATCTCCTTCAATGGCAAAATCCTAAGTAGGCCACTGCGTGGTAATAGTTTTAAGTACACATTGTTAAAAATGTATACTTTTTTTTTTATTTATAGTTTAAGAAAACACGAAAATATGACACCGTCCGATTACATCGCATCAATGCAGGCGGGACGTATATTATGAATTGTAAATTGTTTAGGAGAGCATTTTCAAGAGTTACTTCATAACAGTGCGAATTTTTCATCGTTTTAAAAATGCAAGACTAAGGCCGTATTTCGTTAAATGGCTAAATGGTTCTATCTGTTACACATCGCCAATCCGTTTCATTACAACACGTGTATTTCATTAACTAAAAAAAAAAAAACCAAGGAAAATAATACGAATTCAGGGACACCGAAACCATAAAATGGACAATTTTCGATTCACGACCCCCTTGCGCTGCAACGGTGGTTCGACATTATTACTAAAAAGTTACACTTACGATACCTACTCTCTCTCATGGTGCTCTGGCAAACCGTGTTTATTGCCGTTTGTTTACGCGGTATACGTCATACAAGATACAATATTGACGTTGTAAACATTAATGAAACAGCAATTTGATAATGTTTTATAGGTACGCGCGCGCAGCGTTTAATATAAATTAACACGAGTAGATATTCGGTGCCGGTTGTACGGTGACGGAGTGCAGCGTGTCGTCGTGAAAACAATAAACCAGATGCTCGCGTCAGTGAGACGCACCACACACATAACTACGAGATATAATTAAATAAATAACGTAAAAGCGTGTTTTCCGTACGTTATACACGCAGGTCACATAAATATCAAAATTCATTTAATACTTCTGGATACCTGGTATAATATATTGGACCACAGTTTACCGCCTCGTGTGTTGTGTAATAACGAAAACGAGTTCAAACTTGGTCGTTTCCCAAGTGTAGTGAGCCCTCTGTCTATAATACGCGTCCATATTAATACTGCCAAACGCGGATTTCTTGTATTGTCCATGTCAATTTCCGACATCGCGCCGTGGGGTGACCGAATTTTTGAAAGGACGTACATTTCTTTTGTTTTATTGCATATACGAAATTCCGAAGTATTCGCGCCGTGTTCTCCGACTTAAACATAGTTCCCCTATACCTGATTGGCGAACGAGAGTTTACGTAATAATAATGGCCACATCAAAAACGACCGTGGAAAAAATGTCCGATTTTTCATCTGGCCATTTTGGTGTGTGCACGGCCATTCTTATATGGCGTTTTTTCCCCTAGCCATTTTCGATTTAACAATTATAACTCAATTATCAAGAGGCCATTACACTGATGCCGTATCCGCGATAAAACGGGATTCTGGAACTCTAGGTTTGGTATAATAATAAAATGTCTCATATCAATCATATTTCCGAAAAATATACTGTATAGATAAAAAAAAAAAAAACTATATGCCATTCTTTAATAATATAAAATAAAAAATAATCCATCAACTATTATGTTGGTCACTGCGTTTCGAGCCATACGCTCTATAATAAATATTTAATACACAATAAGTATATAATAGGTACACCTGTACAAGTAGAGACGTAATTATAATGATAATTTACTAATATTAATGTTAAAAGGTTAAACATTTTTTTCAACATTTCAGTATCTAATTTCCTTAAAACGTTTAAAGCTAATGCATATATTATTATGTTATTGATTTTGTATCTGTAGCTATTCAAATTTGATTTAATCGTAATTTTCTATCAATCTTATAGCACACAAGTTCGTCGCAAGCAAATACGGGCGGGGGCTAAGAGACCAACTCATACAGGATCGTACAGGATTTTACAGATAAGAAACACACTGTGCACGTTGCATATGTATGTATATTATAGACGGGGGAAGATTTGTGTAAGGATTTGTACATGATCTAACGGGAAAACCGAGAACAATACATTTTCACATACAGGACCTTACATGCAAGAAAAACACTGTGTACGCTGCTGACTGTATATATACGTTTTTTCGTAATAGATTCTCGGAACGATACGCGTAACGCAATAGTTAGCGATAGTTTATCGTTGCGTATAGATATAAATTAAATGACTTAATGTACCTTTATAACTTCTCTCCAACAACGGTAGCTTCGCCCATTCCCAGTATCAGCTCTTTCTTTTGTTAGTTTATTGATTGAAATTTAATTTTAATCTAAGTTTTTTTTTTTTATTATTCATTTTTATACCTTTTAAAATCACAGAATCAAATTATTGGAAATCAAGAATGAAAATTTGAAAAATGTGTACACCTAATTGATCTCATTACGTTGAACTCAAATCTGATTTTAGAATTTTTAATGCTTCATTAC